CACTCGTAGGAAGGAGTAGTGAAAATCCATATGGCATTTATCTCTTTAGTGTCTAATGAGACATGGTGTTGGAGATTTTCTCCTTGATATCCATATGGCGTTGGAGAGTGACGCTCCTTAACATCAATGATGTGGTGTTGGAGTAACGACACCCCGATTCGTGTGTGATAAAGGGAGATCATAGTCTAGAAGTGGGATATGACACCTTTGGCCAGGTGATCCTACCACTGAATATGAGCTTGGACTATGGTGGATGTGCAATTGGTTCAAGAGTCTATGGTTTGAGTCAGGGTGATATGGAGGCTTGGATGGTAAAATAATCATATACGATTTGTACTAATGAAAAGAGTATGTGGTGATATGTTAAAAGGATTCTCAATTGGTAGTAAAAGATTTGTACTAATGAAAAGAGTATGTGGTGATATGTTAAAAGTATATTTTAGAGTTTTATAGTTTTACTCTCTTATGGTTGTGCATGTTAATTAATAGCAGTAAATTATTCTGTTACTGAGATGTTTATTTCACCTCATGGTTATATTTTACAAGTGAGGCTTCCGATAGGGCCAAGAGGAAGGAAGGGACAATTGAAGAGTGAAGAGAATAGTTGTATAGCTCTTCCCTTTCCTTTTTTTAGGATATTGTAATGAATATTGTTAACATATAATGCCAACTTAGGAACATGACATTATTTTGGATATCACTTGCATGAATTTATAATAAGTATGTGTATCTTGGTCCAAGGTTAATATTGTAGATTAAGTGTGTGTGCTTGGCCAAGTTAGAATTATAAGTAATGAATTTGAAGTGACTTATGTGCCAAAATAACCAAGTTGATATGTGTGTTAAATTTTATCCACCCCTTTGTGTTATTGTCAAACGGGGTTTGGAAGTCATTTTCAGTGTGATAGCTTATTTGTGTGATATAAATGAATCATCATGTTGTGTGTGGTCTATTTAAGGTGGTCAAAGTATTTTTAGGGCTAATGGCATTTGGTATTGTGAGTTGGACACATTTGTGTGTGTTTTGAGGTAAAAACAAATCATTTTGGATTTGGGAATTAATCTTTTAAACGGATGATTGTTTGAGTATAAGACTAGTACCATTAGCTAGAAAGCTTGAATAGCTTCGTGTAGATACTTGAACCACCTAAATCAAACGTTGAATGGCAAAACGACACGTTCTAGAAGTTCGGAGAGCTACCATGACAACAATCTTCCGTCATGATAGTAGGTGCGTGCCACGACGCATGGTAGTTGCATGGTGGCACAAATAGCCTTCGAGGGACTCGTCCCTTTGTGCCATCCACTGTGGCGAATGGGCTAGATTTTTAAAAGAATAGCTGGTTTCAACTTGTTTTGTAGGCTATTTAATTTTCATGCTTCCATATTTATATTTATTTGATGTCTAAGTACGGTTTGAGCTCAAACACTATTTTAAAAAGGGTTTTCTTGATATCCCATTATTTCAATTTATTATCTTTTAAACCTTTTAGTTGTGATAACCTTTACTTGGGATTTTATCTAATCCTGATTATTACAACAGGGTGTAAAAGTGTTATCCTGATAATATCAAAGCAGACATTACACCATCTATCCTAATTTATAAAACATTTTTAAGAAAGATTTAGTATCTCAAAATATAAAGTTTCATTAATAATATTTTTCTAATATTACACTTCCTATTATATCCTTTCTCAAATGGAGTATTAAATGAAGGGTATTTTTAAAATTTTATATTTTTGTTTTAACAGAATAAGTTTATATAGTATATTTAATAAGATCTATTGATATATATGATTTTTTTAAAAGGATCTCATATATTGTTACGGAAGTAGTATAATATAATTAAGTACCTTTTGGATAATTTAGTTATGATGAAAGTTTCTTAGATAATTTATAATGGAGACATAAGCCAAGGCAACTAGCTAATAATACCATATAAATCAAGTCAAGTGAGTAAATAAGGCATACTGATATAAGTTAATTAGTCTAAAATTCTCAGTCAATTAAAAAGAAGAACATTCTAATTTAGGGCTTGTTTGGTTTTTATTTTTAAAAATTGTTTTATAATAGAGTTTTCAAAATTATTTTCCAAAACAAAAGAAAACAAAATGAAAATCTATTTAGTTATGCTAATTTTAAAAAAGTTTTAAAATTAAAAAATAGACTAATAGTAATGATTGCAGGTGATTAATAGTTGTGGTTTCTAATAAAAATTAATTATGCTAACCATATTTTAAAATAATCAAATGTATTGTGTTTCAAAAACAAAAAAAATGAAAAAAATTTTAAGATATTTTATTTTTTGTCATGTTTAAAAACAATAAATGAGAACAATTTTAAAAAAAATTGAATCTAAGCACCTATTTGGTTACCTGCTTTTAGAATAGTTTTTTGTTTTGAAAAAAATGAAAAAAACTTGTTTGAATATGTATTTTCTATTATTTGTTATGAAAAACAAAAAAGTTAAAAGTTATTTTGAAAAACTAAAAAAATCAAAACAATAGATTTTTTGTCATTTTTTGTTCTACAAAACTAGAGAGAAGGCAGGAAATACCATGCTTTTATTAATGACAATTATATTATCAAAATAAATTATTCATTTACCTCTTATTTTACCAATTTAGATACATTTTTCAAAATAGAGATTCAAACATATTTTTTTTAATTTTTTTATTGAAAAAATATCACTCAAGGACCACTGTAAAAGTTTATACTAATTAAAGATCATAAAATTTTAAAATTTCACTATAGTTCTTTTGTCCTTATTTTAAATTAATTTTTTACATGAAATGATTGAATTACTCCTAAAGTTTAAAATAAAAAACAAAGTCACCTCCATTGTCTCTAGCACCAACCACCGAATAGTTGCCAAAGTCTAAAGACCCTGTTGATAGCAAGGTTGCTAGAGCCCTTGCCACCAGAGGGTTGCCGGTGGCCTCTCACCTAAGCCCTAATGCTGGTGACACTTTTATTAAAGAATAATTGGTGAAAGTGGCCAACGAGGGGTGTGATCCTATGATCTCTTGACTAACTAAAAAGCTTAACAAAAAAATATATGTAGTAGCTTAACTTCTAAATCACTTTCATATTATAATATAACGATATGTTATTAATTCTTGAACAGCATTTGTTATTTTTCTAATATTACTTATTAATCTGACATGATCAATTATAAATTAGGAGCTTTAAAATTTCATCGACTTGTTAAAGCTCAAATGGATTGATGACTTCAAATGAGTTATTGTTAAAATATGAATTGATACTTATTGATGAAAGACTAACATATATAATTATGACCATCCTATCTGTTTGTTTAACTTGTTAAAGCTCGAATTAATTATTGTTTTTCAAATGAGTTGCTGTTAAAACCCAAATGAAGACCACTTATCTCCCCTTTGACACATTTACCAATTGTTTTTAGGAGTTGGATATTAAAAAATGTAAGGTATTTTTTGAGGAGTTTGATGTTAAAAAATATAAAGCATTTTTAGTTTTTCAAATTGTAATCATTGTCTTTTATTTTTTTCAAAACTATCCCTATTGAAGAAATTATTTTATATTTATCTTTGGGTGAAACTTTAATAGGATAAATATAAAAAGATAAGGTTAGTTTGAAAATAAACAACTACTTTATTGGGTGTAAGATTTAATTAAAAATGTCTTATACTTTTAAATGGAAAGAGTATCTTTTAGATATTTTGTTATTTTTTGTTCTACAAAACTAGAGAAAAGACAGGAAATACCATGCTTTCATTAATGACAATTATGCCATAAAAATAAATTATTCGTTCACCATTTATTTCACTAATTTAGATATGTTTTTTAAAATAATGATTCAAATAAATTTTTCCATTTTTTTATTTTCAAAATATGTTCTGAAAAACTATTCTGCAGAATTGTGTTAAGAAGATAAAAACGAAAAACAAAACCAAACTCTAAAACACTAACCAAACAAGTTTTTTAATTTCCTCATTCCTGAAAATAAAAAATAATTTTTAAAAACAGAAACCAAACATGACCTTAATTATTCTATTATGCCAAACATGATCATAGCTGATAGAAATTGAAGTATGAAGGGGCATAATAATGAGAGTGGCAAATAGGAGGTGAGTGCGTTATACAAGCTCCCTTTAGCAAAACCACAAACTTATCAATACTGAAAACTGCGAAAGTACGTATAGAAAAAAGGAACCCAAAAAAAAAAATTCTGTTATATGTCATTATCAAAGCCTTCAAAAGGTGCGGCTGCAAGTGGAAGGCATAGCTATTTAGACTTGAGAGTTCTCTCTATCATTTATGAGTTTAATTAATTATAGCTCATCAATAGCAATTTGGGCCATTAGAGGCAGTTCTTTAACAAGTTAACGAGGTGTCGACAAAAATTTTCCAATTAACAAGAGTACTCCCTTCGTGTGTGTATATATATAAGAAAAAAATTATATCACATAATTTAAAAAATTTAATTAACTATAATAATTATATTAAAAATAAAAAAATAGATTAAAATACTCTGTATTAATCAACATAAACATCATTAATTATTTTCATCAATGTAAATCATGAGAGGTAATTTAAAAAATATATAATAAATGCTTATTAAAATGAGTTATTTAATTTATAAAAATATAAATAAAAAATGACAGTTTTTTTACTAATAAAGAATGGAGGAATTATGACTTACAGCTTACAAAATCATGGCACCAAATTCTGCCACTGATGTAAAGATTTTATTAGTGAATGATATACAAGTATTTCAAAAAAAAATTTGTGATTTTTTAAAATTGAACTCACTCAAAATTTTTCATTAAAAAAAAAAACAAGTTAACAACGTAATGCTTTTTGAGCTTATGTGGGTTAAAGATGGCAAAAAAGATCTTTAGTCTCTTCTGACAAAATCTGCCACGCTTTGCTGAAGAAGCATGAAGGAGGTCGTATAGGCTAAGGTACAATTTTCCCTCCTCACTATGCTTCATTTCTTCTTTCCACGCACGCCTCTCTTTTATTCTTTCTTGCAATAAAAAGCTCTTTAGAACCCATGTGATATCTCCACAACTCAAAGTTAAGTCACTAAGTTCAATGTCCTTTTGTTAGTTTGTGTTTTTTACCCCCCTCTGTACAATCCTGTTGGGGTTGAAAATTGAAATCATGCCTTTATATTCTCGGCCAAGTTTGAGTGTCCATGTAGAAAAAGAGACCAGACCCGTCTGCTGATTTACTCCGTCCTTTTACTCTCTCTAGATAAGACCTATATTCCCATAAAGAAGCAGTGAGGGATTAACTTTTGTTTGTATGTTTGTAAGGGTTTGTTTGGGGATTAAAGGCGACGTTGGGCAAGGAATCTGAGCTGAGAGATTGCAATAGCAGGTTTTTTTTTTTTTTTCTGGGGATCAGCAATGATCAGAATTCAGAGTACAACACAGGCAAGAAAAGCAGAAAATGGTGTCTGCTGCCTGAAGAAAAGCTAGAAGAAATCAAAATCCTCATAAGGGCAAAAGCAACAAAGGGGCAAAAAAAAAAAAAAAAGGAATCTGGATTTCAGTGGGAATCATCATCAGCAAAGAAGAGCACAAGAATCACAAGAACAAAACTTGAGCATATACTATCATTTTCAGCATCCTTACCAACATTTAGAAAGCATATTTTCCCACCATAGACAACCACATCAGGAGGAAGAGGAGGAAGAGAAGAAGAAGAACCAGAAAGTTTAAACTACAGAAAACAAAAGAGACGAATGGGCATGAAGAGCACAGGAGGAGAAATAGTTCAGGTTCAAGGAGGCCACATTGTTCGATCCACAGGTAGAAAAGATCGTCACAGTAAGGTGTACACTTCGAAAGGTCTTCGTGACCGAAGGGTTCGACTTTCAGCTCACACTGCCATTCAGTTCTACGATGTTCAAGACCGTCTCGGCTATGACCGACCCAGCAAGGCGGTGGATTGGCTCATCAAGAAGGCCAAATCCGCCATTGACAAACTCGGAGAGCTTCCTCCATGGCATCCGGCAGTTGGTAACACTACTGAAGAAGCTCCTGAAATAAGAATTGCAGAAGAAACTGAGTCTTCTGGTTACAACATTCAGCTTCAGAGACAGTTTTGTGAGAACCCAGATAACCATTCTGGTTTTATTTCGTCGCAGATGGGCACTGATGCCATAGCTTTCTTCCCCACGAGTTCTGCTACTATGAGTTCCTCTATCAATTTTCAGAACTACCCAGCTCATATAATCTCCAGAACCACCGACCCAGATGAAGATCTAGGACTTTCTCTTCATTCGTTTCAAGACCCAGGTCTGATTCATGGCCAATCATCACATGGAGACGCGAATAATCCCGCAGGATTTGTGACTTGGAACAACAACGACGCTTCTTCCATGTTAGTGGGGCAAGGCTCGACTACATTTTCTCAAAGGGGGACCCTTCAGTCCAGTTTTTCAGCATGGAATGACAATATTGCAATGACTTGTTCTTCCTCGGATCAGCAGCAGAACAAGTCTCAACAAGCTTCGATCTTTGGAAGCAGGTTTCTTCTGTCTGATGGAATGGGAATTCCTGGATTCTGCATTCCCGCGAGAATTCAAGGCCAAGAGGATGATGGAATTGCATCTGATCACAGGCCATCTTCTTCTTCTTCCCCTAATTCTCTTCACTGAAACTGTTTGGTGTTCCATCCTTATCCATCAGGTACTCCACTGAATTGCCCAATTTTCTTTTTGCTGAACGATTTCAGAGATTTGAATGAAAAAATGGAATAGAGTCAGTTATGGACCACTTCGTTCGATTTTTGCAAACATAGCATCTTTTGCTTTTATTGGAACAAACAATAAATAGTATTCATTCTTCTAAACAATTTCCCATGCGAAACTATAAACTCACAAAAAAATTTCGCCTCCATTATTATAAGCAGGAGTGTTTCTGGCATTCATCAGATTTGCAACTAAGTGGAAGATCATGAGAATCAACAAAATCCGATGAATGCAGCAGTTATCTGGTGGAGATCAACTCCTAGCTTTTTTCTGGAAAATTGTTCTTGTAATTTTAATTTAGTTGTATTTCAGTTTTTAAATTTTGATTTGTTATAATTAGATCCTTATAGGTTTGATCTTGAATTATGATTTTTGCAATTCAATCTTTAAAGTTTTAACTATTTAAAATATTAGTCCCTATATTGTAAAAAATAAAATTAAAAATATTAAAATTATATAAAAATTTAGTACAAATATTTAAAATTAATAAAAATTTTAATCTTTATAAAGATAAAAAATTTTAAAATAGTTTTAATTTTTATAATTTTATTTTTTAAAAAATACAGAATAATATTTTAGATAGTTAAAACTATAGAAACTAAGTTCTAAGAGTCATCATTCAAGGATTGAACTATAATAAAATACAAGCTTTAAAAATTTAGTTACAATGAGTTAATGTTTAAGGACTAAATTACAACAATATCAAAATTATAAAAGGCTAAATGTTTAATTTTCCTCTATTCTTTTAACAAAAAACCTAGATACAGTTTTATTGTTATTTAATATCAAGCTTTCCAATAAACAAATGATACATGGATTATCTACAGAAAAATAGAAAATTAAAAATTTCCTGTTATCATATGTGCATTGGGGATCTTAATAGGAAATATCTATAAAACTATAACTAAAGTAGTACTCTAGTCATATGAATGAGAGGTAGGGGCTGATAATTACAAATTTGAGAGTATGTGTGTTGGTTTGATAGTAAAGAGCAAGACTTTTCACATTCCCAAAAGGTACGTGTGAACAGTTTTAGTGGGACAGTACTCTCAATCACGCGCAATGGATTCATTACATTCAATATTATCGGTAAATTTGGCCAAAAAATATTACCGGTAAAAGCTATGGTATGGAAATTTAAGTTGAACTTTTCAGCTAAACTGATGAACCATTATATTAGGTTAATAAAATAATTTGTCTATTTGTAAGCATCTTTATAAATACTAGTTAAACTTATAAAAATATTTTACTCCTAGTGAGCTTTCGAAACTTTACTTATCTAAATTTGTTATTAAAAATAATTTTATTTATAAACGGTTTGATTCTTACAGTCTTTATTATTAACTCTTGAATTAATGCTTTAGTTAGTTTATTGACAAGTATGATACCTTTAAAAGGGGTGCAATGCAACACCAAATTCGATTGACATTGATGCTTATCACGATGTTCTCCCTTATTATTGAGCATTATCGTACAAACCGAGCTTTGTTTTTATTATTCAATTTTGGCCCTGCGCTCTTGGATATTTTTTTCTAAGTCGATAAAAATTTGATGTGCAAATTATATTCTCGTCATGTGATATCATAACATGCATTAATTAAATGTTTATTTGATGAACGTGAAATATTTTATTCAGACTAAAATTCTACTTTTATGGGGCACAAGCCTAGAGAAGAAGCAGTCTCGTGAAAAGCTTGGGATGAAAACTTTTGAACCAAAAGGAACTGTGTTAAGAAAGCCTAGTTTAGTGGGGTAACAAGTAGGAGAGAGGGGTCGATCTCTTCGTTGTCGTGATGGAATGATTGGCTCAAAGTAAAAGTAGCAAACTTTTGAGAATTAGAGCAACAAGAAGTTGGTGAAATAAAAAAATTAAAAGAAACAAAGAAAATGAATAATAAAGAGGGTGATCATAAATTGAATTCAAACGAACTGACACAGCGTGTACAAAAGCAAGCACGTTGGTGGAAATACGGAGAAAGAGGAATAGAGTTGTAAATATGTATTGGATCTTGTGCCCGTTTGGTGGCTATCACACTCACTCACCTCCTTCGTCCTTTTCTACCGCCTCGACCCCTTTTCTGCACTCTTCTCTGTCTTTCACTTCTTTTTTTTTTGTCTTTAATTTCTTCCACACACACATATATTCACATATAAATTTATTTTTGTGCATGTCTATGTGTTTTCATAATGTCATATATCCATAGCATCATGACTTAGCTTGTTTCAGCTGCAGAGTTTTCATCATCAAGGGTCAGGTACAGTGTGTGTGTTTGGGTAAAACAAGAGTCAATTTTTTTTATATAAAAAAAGTATTCCACACACCAATTATCAATAAAAGAAAAACAGAAAGCAATAAACATGAATACAACCTACAAAAACAAAAGAAAGACAGAAAGCAGTAAAACTTAGATACAACCTAAAACAAAAACCAGAAAAATCAACCAATACCAAATCTGTCCATTTCCCTGCAAGCAAACAATGAAAAAGAAGAAGAAGAAGAAGCTTTTATCCCAGAAACATCTGCAAGTAAGATAACGTTAAAGAAAATGTTGCTTGAGTAAGCCATCCTATTAGACACATTCACTTAGTACCCAATGTTGCTAAAATATTAGTAGCCCTATTACCTTGGCGACACACCAAGGAGGTCATCTGCTGAATTTTTCAAAGAAAGCAGCTCTTGAACCAAATCCACACATTGCAACTCGCCAACCAACTTAATTCTTCTTACCTGTCAGAAGATTATATAATTCCTCACAATCCATTTCCAGTAGCACAGCACTAGCTCCAAACAAGCAAATAGATAGCAGGCCCCCCTTCAAAGCACGACACTCAGTCATGAAAGGAGACATTGCACTTATCTTCATTCCCAATCCACCAACCATATTACCAAGGCTATCACGGCAGACCACTCCCACTTTAGTAGCACCAATTGCCTGAATGAAATATCCATAAGTGTTTATTTTAATTTTCCCCTGCATAGGAGAAATCCATGACATAATTCGTCATTCCTATCATCCTGACTCTGCATCTATGACATATCTTTCTTCATTGCTTGAAAACATTCCAAACTAGATTTTAAGCCTCATATATTGCCCTTCCTGCATCTACTCTTTCCCTATTGAAAACCCAATCACACCTTTTCCAAATAGCCCAACAAAGAGTAGCCTTCCCCTACCCATCCAATTTTCTATCTTTCGCAAACATATACAAAAACCAATGAACTACACTCTTAAAACCTTCTTTCTAGATTTTCAAGGATGAACTACAACCAAACCAAACGCTTTGAGCCCATTCACAGAAAAATAGCAAATGTTCATAGGACTCAACTTCCTCAAAACAAATGGGACATGTAATATTGCCTATTTTACTCCACATACTTAACCAATAAATCACACATTACTATGGTAATTAGGAATTAACCATCCTAGTCACCATAACATGGTAAATAGTTCTCAAATGCAATTAGAGAGAAATTAACCATAGTAGAAAAGAAAAGACCAAGGTTTAAAGGTCTACTATTGTTATTTGGACTAAATATAAACCCTTTAATAAAACAGTACAACTTCACAATTTATTGGGATTCCAAGTTGACAGCTCAAGCCAATACATAACAAAACCTATGCAATCATAAATCAGGTTTGAAAGCATTTAGAAGCATGGGATACCAATTATTTTGAAAATCATCTTGAAGAAAGGGATAAAAATGACACTTGAAAATTACAAGAGCGTTTACCATAGCTTATGTAACATCCAGAATTCTTAATCTCAAGACTAATTAGTAATTTAGCAAATAATTGTATTAGCCATGATTTTGGATTGTAAATTGACATTTTGGGTCATTAGACAATTGTATGATTAGGATTGGAAGGAAGTAGAGTTGCTCGGGATCGAGTGGGAGAGCTCAAGTAGGAACTAGCCATGCGCTGCATGGAACATTCAAAAACTTAAAATCTAGAATAAATTGACTAATTAAGGGATAAATTAGTTAAAAAGATAATTAATTAATTTAATTCTATTTTTGGTTTGCTAATTAGCTTTTTTGGTCATATTTGGCTCTAAATTGAGTTAGGATGGAAGTTGGATCAAATTGGATAGCATCAGGGGGAGCAAAAATGACATTTTGATCACTACATCATGAGCCGTGGCTTGTGTGGCATGCATTGCAACACACGGCACAGCACAGACAACTTAAAATACAAAAATCATAAAAAAAAGGTAGTTTATGGGGGAAAGGCCTAGGACATGAAGGGGAAGGCTTTGGGCACTACTAGGGCTTCATTTTGGGAGGATTTTAAAAATAAATTAGGCCTTCAAACTCTTGAGTAAATTTCTCACCCTTCTTCTCTACCTTTTCATCTTATTTTTCATGAGATTTGGAAGTGGAGAATTTGCTCTAAATGGATTAAGTTATGGGTCTATGTTTAAAAGATTTAAATTGATTCTAAAGGTATGATTTTAGTTTTTTAACCTTGGATAAGTGGTAATATGAAGTTATTTTTTTGTTTACTGAAAGTTGGATCAAGCTCTAACTTGATTATGGGGTTTTAAAGTGTGATAAATTAAGATATTAAGTGTCATGTTGTGATAGAGTGAGACTGAGGTTTGAGGAGAATGTGTGGACAAATTATAATCTTGACAAGTCTCTTTGTTGAGAATATAGTGAGAAGTAGGAGAATTGGGATGTTGTTGATAGCTAATGGTGCTTGTGTTAATTGAAAATTAACATATAGTACTTATTGATGTAAATTATGGTGTGGAAAAACTTACCTTAACATAAGAAGAGATTTAGTACCATATGTAACCCTTTTGGTAACAAAAGGGTTGAGGTAACTATATCTTTGCATTATTTATTACTTTGTATAAGTTATTCTCAAGTTATTCTTGTATGATTTTTTTGTATATATGTGAAAATTTTGTAAAAGTTAATAATTTTAGAAAATGAGTAGAGTATTGATTTGTAAAATGTCATGTTTTTTAAGTAAATGGTAAGATTCATTATATTAGTTTAGAAAGTGGTTTATGTATGGCCAAGTGGAGATATGTAGTGAAATATGGTATAATAGAGGGTGGGAGGTCACCCTAGTAGAACTAGTAGAGATTAAGTCTATATGACACTGCTGGCATCTCAGGACACCAAGTACAGCTCATATTTCTCCTTAGTTCCCAAAAAAGGGTGCGGTGTTGGAGACTTATTCTCCTTAGTATCCAAAAGGGTGCGGAGTTGGAGACTATGCTCCTTAGCATCCGTAGGATGCAGTGTTGGAGTAAGAGCACCCCCATTACTCGTAATAAGGGGAACTTATAGTCTATAAGTGGTTTAGGATGCCTTGGTCAGGTAGTCCTACCATGGATGG